AGCACATACCTTAAACACTTAAAGCTGTAAGCTAATGATAGTTATATAAGAGCAGATGCTGCTGGTGCAATAAGCTGTACATTTTACGTCCAATGGATGATGATCTGATTAGTCGACTAATCGCAAAAATAATCGGTGACTAGTCGACTATCAAAATAATCGTTTGTGGCAGCCCTAATGAACACCAAAGCATTACGTCATCTTTCAAGATAGTACATATATAGTACAAAATAATTTTAGATGGACCAAAAAAGACTGCAGTTCTGGTTAAGGAGGACAGCTCTACCAAATCTTTATGGTAAAATGCTTCCACCACACTGTACAATACGTCTGTCAATATTGTCTGGCCTCCCGATATGTCAGTCAGGCTCAAATTATTATAAACATAACCATAATTGTAATCCACAGCTGACTGTAATGGCTTGCTCTACTTACACGAGAAATTATTTCATGTGCTGACCTGCAGGAATTGTTGAGTTCTCTTTCAGTACTACAGAACTGTGGCTGGCAGTCGCACATTGTTGTCTCTTAGCAGGTGCCGAAGTCATGTTATGACAGGTTTACGCTGCTTCAAAGTTCCTAATCCTTTTTGTTATTATGAGACTGCTAGTGAAGGATAGATCTAATGTTTTATAGGAGAAGTAATGCCCAGTGGGTCTTCAGCACTTAAGCCAACCTGTTTGAAGTGAACACTTTGCTCCTCTGAGGTGTAAACCTTAAGCTAAGTATCGATATTAAAGTTTAGCTTCAAGATGAACTACAAGAAACAGTAAAACCAGACATTTATTGTTACTAAGCAACACTGTGGCCCCTTTGAGGATGTAATTCTCTTTATTTATGAAAAAACTGAGGATCAGACATTCGGTTTATTACTTTCCCTGCTGAAAATAACTTTTCATATTCTGTGCGGCTCCCGGTGAGCATAGAAAACCTCAACTCTCTGTTGTCTGAGCATGATTCAGAGCCACTTGTCTTCAGTTAGGAGGAAGTTGGGTTTTTGCTAACACAACCCGGATGTTTCAGTGAATTTGCATATCATTTCTAACAGTCACACTCTCTCGTCTATTCTTCTTCAAAACCGTGAATGGCCATGGTTTGGCAGTTGGAGTGTTTGAATGTTATCTTTACTGCTTATTTGACTGTTTACGCTGCTGTGGGGAGGCTGAGGTTGCACATTCCTGTAGCTGGTAGTGGTTTCTTCTTGCTGCAGCAGTGTTACCCGGTTGAGGTTAGAGGAGCTTGACGGAGCTCATGAAGCATCAGCAGCAGATACGGTATCTCCGAGGAGGAGATTGTCTGTGATGGATGAATCGCATGTGTTTGTCGGGGTTGGGAGGAACGGCGGCGGGTTGTTTTCTGTGTCTTTAAGCAGCAGCTGGGTCGAGTCCCTCACTGGCTGTCCTCTGACAGAATGGTATGTCAGTGCTGATGAGTTGGCCCACTCTGCAAAGAAGCTTTAAAAATAGATGCTCCTGGAAGATCAGCTGTTGCTGCACCCCAGTTTTAGAGCGAGTCTGTGGGTGGGGGTG